GTCCCCACAGATAGGAGCGAAACTGGGAGACACCATAATAAACGGCCAACAGTTCCCTGTCAGTGTTAGGATACCTGGATTCTGCTTCGTTTAAAGTACGACTAGTACAACCTATAAGGACCTCTCGTTTTCCGGGTTTTTGGGTCAGGACGGCCCCAATGGCAATGGCGGATGCATCAGTGGTTAGTATGAACTTGTAGTTAAAATCAGGAAAAGATAAAATGGGAGCCGAGAGAAGACATTTTTTCAGACAGTCTACTGAGGTTTTTGGGTCAGGACGGCCCCGATGGCAATGGCGGATGCATCAGTGGTTAGTATAAATTTGTAGTTAAAATCGGGAAAAGATAAAATGGGAGCCGAGAGAAGACATTTTTTCAGACAGTCTACGGCTTCCTGTTGTATTTTAGTCCACTTGAATTCGGATTCCTTTTTTAGCAGTAAATACAGGGGCTTTGCTTTAAGGGCAAAGTTTTGAATATAGGAACGAAAATACCCAACCAATCCTAGGAAAGCTTGAATCCCTTTAACATCCTTGGGAGTAGGAAAATTTTGGATAGCCTCTATCTTAAATACAGGGGCTTTGCTTTAAGGGCAAAGTTTTGAATATAGGAACGAAAATACCCAACCAATCCTAGGAAAGCTTGAATCCCTTTAACATCCTTGGGAGTAGGAAAATTTTGGATAGCCTCTATTTTGACAGGATTTACTCGTATCCCGGCTTCGCTGATCAGGAAGCCTAGATACTCTATTTGAGTACGGAAAAGTTGGCATTTGGAAAATTTGACCTTGAGGCCAGCTTCATCCAACCTAACCAGGATATCAGAAAGATGTTCTAGGTGCTGATCGGCTGTTTTTGAATATATAACAATATCATCTACGTAGATGTATGCGTAGATTCCGAGACAGCCATCTAGCACTAGATGCATCAAGCGCTGAAAAATAGAAGGACTATTCTTTAACCCCATAGGCAACCGAATGAATTCGTAATGCCCCATGGGTGTAGAGAAGGCGGTTTTCCAGCGGTCTTCTTCTCGGATTTTTACGTTGTAGAAGCCGTGCAATAGATCCAAAGCCGTAAAGAAACGAGCGTTTCCAGTTCCTCAAAAATTTGATTGATGCGGGGTAAAGGATGGGCATCTGTGATGACATGGTCATTTAATCGACGAAAGTTGACCACCATTCTCCAGCCACCATCCTTCTTTTTGACCATGAGGGTCGGGCTATTGTATGGAGATTTGGATGGGCGGACTATTTCATGACTCAGGAGTTCATTAGTGTATGCGTTTACCTTTGGGCGCATCATATGAGGCAGGGGGTATTGGCGAGTAAAGATGGGTTTCTCAATGTCCAGCGGTATGTTGGCCTCATAAAGAGGGCATAGTCCTAGATGATCAGATTTTTTCGCTAAAACGTTTTTAAAGCGTTTCAGCAATTTTCTCAAAGGACTGACTAATCGGTCCGGGCACTCAGAAAGCTTGATGTTCTCTTCTATTAGTTGAGAAAGATTCTTTTTTTCTAGTTTACCATGAATTCCTTCCAATGTATCCTTGGCTGCTTCGGTCATTTTGGTACCTTTGAGGTTGTTCACTTGGACTTTCGGGACTATTTCAAAATCGTTTGCAGTGGCCGTAGTAAGAGTTACTCTGGGAGATATTGTGTGATCTTCGTCCCCTAAATTCATGCACAATACAGGATAGTACCCTTTGTGTTTTTTAGACACACTTCGGGCTATGGCTATATTTCCACTAAGGCTGTTGGAGACCAAGATAGGTTCGTCTTTGATAGTTTTCTCTATATTTTCCGAAATCTTAGTGAATAGCAGCAATTGGGATCTTTTTGGGATGACCGCAGCAGTTTGTAAATACAATCGGAAGACCATAGCCGGTGCCAATCTTTCTTTTCTAATGGCCATTCTGATCTTACAACCTTTGTTCGACTCGGTGAAAAACTTTATCTTCACTTTGTTCAAAGAAAGGAATCTGTCAGAGTACAAAATTTTGGCCTTCATTTGCTTCAATAGATCGGATCCGACTATTCCCTCAAATTCATGGCCACGGATCTCGAAAATTATAAATCGAACAGAGGCTAAATACGTAGAGTTACTGTACAACTTTACACACACGATCCCCGAGACGGGCATTTCCCGTCCCTCTATCGTCGCGATGGTCATAGCTGACGCCATGGGGGTTATTTCTGGTTTTAGTACACTGTTAGTTAAAAGAGATATTTCAGATCCAGAATCAACTAAGAATTTTACTGGGAAACGAGTGACGTTAGTCTGCAGGATAATCACCGGTAACTTTGTTGGGGAGAGGGTCGAAGTCCCGGTCAATACTCGTTTCCCAAATACTGCTCGGTGTCTTCGATGTACCCTTCCGGTAATAGTTCCTCCTCATCTTTGTCACCGTATTCCTCCTCGTCGTATTCGTCGCCGCCTTGCAATTCGTTCACAAAATTCACCTTTCGTCCACGTCTGCGCCCACGCAAATTTCCGCGCATAGCAGAGCGACCTCTGGCCCCGCCCGTGGACAGCCGCGGAGGGCGGCCATCCTTCTCGGGGGCCAAATACACAAACTTCCTCTGCACAGGTTTTGCGGGTTCCCGACTCGCGTTGCGGCATTCACTGCGGAAATGGCCCTTCTGGCCACATCCGTAACAGGTCATTGACGCACGTATGTCAGATGCTCCAACACCACCATTAGCAGGGGGAGTCCGCGGACGATACGACAATTGGTGTAAAGATGAAGAACGAACCGCCCGGCGGTCTCTTTCGCGATCCTCGACGGATATCGCGTAAGTAATGGCCGACTCGAAATCATCAAAAGTGGTACGAATCGAGTATTCTAGAAACATATGGAATAAGGTCTTGTTCCAGCAAAGAAGGGGAAAGGTAGGCACAGAGCTTGCTTTTTCTGTTTTCGGGAGGGTATCGACTCAAAGCGTCAGCGTGCGGGATGGAAAGGCCCTTCTTGTATTCCACCTGGTATTCATATTCGTTCAAAGTAATAAACCAAGCGATTGCTCGGCGACTATCACTTTGGCGCTGCCGACTCAGAAATGGAATAGCAATGTGATCAGTGCGGATGATAAAGGGATGTCCCCATAGATAGGAGCGGAATTGGGAGACACCATAGTAAACGGCCAACAGTTCCCTGTCGGTGTTAGGATACCTGGATTCTGCTTCGTTTAAAGTACGACTAGTACAACCTATAAGTACCTCTCGTTTTCCGGGTTTTTGGGTCAGGACGGCCCCAATGGCAATGGCGGATGCATCAGTGGTTAGTATAAACTTGTAGTTAAAATCAGGAAAAGATAAAATGGGAGCCGAGAGAAGACATTTTTTCAGACAGTCTACTGCTTCCTGTTGTAGTTTAGTCCATTTGAATTCGGATTCCTTTTTTAGCAGTAAATACAGGGGCTTTGCTTTAAGGGCAAAGTTCTGAATATAGGAACGGAAATACCCAACCAATCCTAGGAAAGCTTGAATCCCCTTAACATCCTTGGGAGTAGGAAAATTTTGGATAGCCTCTATCTTTACAGGATTTACTCGTATCCCGGCTTCGCTGATCAGGAA